AAAACTAACCAGGAAATTAGGAGACAATTGGTGTGAGTTTAAAATCATAAACAGCAAAAGCACTGTTACATCAAGTGACCCAATTACATAAAGCAACGAACAAGCTGACCGTAAGAGCAAAATGATACAACATGACCTCAAAAATACTGATACCTGTTACAAGAAAAGCAAGAGAGTTCGTATTGACTGGTCGGGCTGCATGTACACGCTGATGAGCAACAATTCCATAAAATTCATATGTCAGGGTTTGTTAATTTCCGTACTTAGGAAAATTATCATTTCTCTTGTCAAGAGAATTAGGATTATTTACAAAAACTACCCCTAGGTCTGAGTCTAAACTGAAAAACAAAAACGGCTCCAACTATTTGTTTAATATTACAATTAACTTCTTGAAATGTAACAAACAGTCCTTGAGATATGTATTCATTTACAAGTACTCCCATTGTTGATGGTGCAATTTGTAAAAGAGAAACGAATCTCCAGAGCATCTTTAATTTTTAAGGATAGCCTTTTGTATTTATTCTTTTTCTTTTTTGATATTTGATCAAAGAACCAGGGGCAGTTTTTGTACTCAATTCTATAAATTAACAAAAGGACTGGAAGTTCACCACTGTACGCCGTTCAGGTGCAAATCCTGGAAACCCAGTTTCTATATCTCCTCTTGTGCCTCGGAAAACAAAACTCATGATACCAAAATCTGCAAGCAATACTAAGTGAACAAACTGTCTTGGACAATACACACTCAACACCAAAACCTTGTCCGACCAAAAGAACTAAAAAACTCCAGTAAACACCAATACTGAGAAAAGGAAAGTTGAAATTATCAGTTAACCTCCGTTTTATGTTAATCCTACTTTTAATAAGAGAACATTATAAGATATGCTCCATACCTATAGACCAGTCTCTTGAGTCTTGACTAGTACCAATCACATATAAATTTGTTCATCTCTATATTTCATCACCAAAACTATAAGATCCCGAACTAAAGACTAAGAACTATATGAAACTCGTATGTGACTAAGTCCCAACCCCAAGAAAGGGGCACTTAATTCAAGTTCAATCATCCTAATTTGGGAATCAATTTTTTTGTTAGGATTACAAATTCTGAGTTTATGTTTATCCTTTCCATCTAGTCCATGGTCTAGAAGCATAAATTATATAGCCTGAAGACAACTACATTATAATCGACTTCAATCAATTTATACTTCAAGATCTAATGTGATCATGACATAAATGAACCATTGATTTCAGTCATGTGTGAAGATCTTCATATCCACTATTACTTGCAGCTGAAAGGGGCCAAATTTGTGTGCACCTCCTAATCGAATGTGATATTCTGGCAACAAAAAGGAGAAAAACTCCTCCTCAGCAGACAAAAACAATAGCTCGAACGAATCACTTATATTAGCTAATAATTTCAGAGTTGCATTACCAAATCTTTTTTTTAATGTTGTTAAAAACAGAAACATTTCACCTACCACCAACTTCACCTAAATTATAAGAAAAGAGATGAAAGCATGCACCCCAAAATAGCTAACCCTAAAAATCAAAAAAGAAAATCGTGACTCCCGTCTCAGTAAATCAATCAATGCGCTAGAAATAGATTCCAATTATTCCACATCAAAGTTAAAATTTGGTAATACATATTGTTTCCATCCAAACAAGTTTAAATTGCAGATGAGATGAAAAGGGGTTCACTCACAGAGAGCAAAATTCTGCGCAATGGTTGCGAATGCGAATAATCTATTAAAAATAAATTGTTAAGGAAAAATGGGTACTGAGATACCTGCGATTGAGAATGAAGAAGGTAATGAGTTGACTCGGACGCGTTAGGGCTTTTCGTTATTATGTGTATATGATTCAAGGAAAGGCCCTAACGCAAGTGAATCGTTTTTCTCAGTTTTACTGCTATTTTAGTACAGCTCCATCCATAAACGACTTCTTTGAGTTTGTGCTCCCGTCCCCGTCTCTTTTATTAATAATAAAACAATATTGTTTATTTTTTAAATATCTAAAAAATGTTTTATTATATTTTACTTTTAATTACCCACTATTGTTTATTATAAAAAAAAAACAATCTAAAAAATATTTTATTATTATTTTATATTTAATTGCCCACTACTGTTTATTATTATTATTATTAAATATAATTGCCTTTTTTATTAAAAACTATAACGGGTCGCTTCGTTAACGGGTCGGCCTTTGCAACCAAAGCCCTTTTGTGAGGGTTGCCCATATTGTTGTTTGCTACTATGTTACAGTCTTACAGATTTTCGTGACTTCAAAATTAATTGAAGTTTATTATAGTGAATGTCCTTGCTCATGAGCACTATATTCAATATTCGGTGGATTTTTATTTAAACCGATATACAAAATGAGGATATAATGGAAAATCATGCCATGTCACATTAACACTGTGTTAAATAAATTGAGTTTTACGACCTCTATCAAAACGCATGGGCGCAATTTTTATGGATGACAAATCATGATTAGGACTGCAAACGAATTGAGCGGCAGCGCTCGAGTCAAAGCTCGACTCGAGCTCGAGTTTGATCGAACTCGAGTCGAGCTTGAGCTTTGACTCGAGCACGAACTCGAGTCGAGCTCGAGCTCATATTTTGTCTTGCTGAGCAGCTCGAAATACACATTAAATTACTAAAATAACCCTTATTATATATATTAGCAGAGGTGCTTAATAGTAATTTTATCTTTCCATTTAAAAATTTTCGAACCGAGCTCGAGCTATTATAATTTTTTATCGATTCGAGCTCGAGCAGAATCCTACTCGATAAGGTCAATGCTCGATTCGGCTCGGCTCGTTTGCAGCCCTAATCATGATACATCATCGAATTTTCGTTTCATTAACCTGATTATAATTACAATGACAAACCCAACTAAATTTTTTATTCCATATTGCTCACCTCGTGTTCTGATTAGTATGGAGTCGTGTTCATCATTTCATTTATCTCTATACTTTTGTTTTTCTAATTGTATACGATTGTGTTTGATTAGTATGGAGTCGTGTGTTTCGTGCTGTACCAATGATGGAACCATTGTAATATTTTCAAATACAATTTAGTCTCATGCAAGATTTCAAAACACTAGTGAGGTTGAGCACGAGGGAGATTCATGCAAGATCTTACACACACACACACACACAAAAACTAGGGTTTCCAGAAATTTGTCATCTTTCATCTTCCCCTACTGACCTCTTTTCCCTTCATTTACTTAACTGTCTTCTACGCTTTGATTCGTTTATGCCATTGATTTAACCGACAATTCAATCATTTTGCTACAATTAGCTTCAATCCTAATGAGCAATATAACTTAGGGTTAAATACTTTCTCAATGCCGATTCTTTCTCGAATAAGGGGAAGAATTATATATCACTCGGGCAACAGCCAAGAATACTGAAGATGACCAGAATGTGTTCTAGTTAGAAACACATCAGTAAATGTTGGGACCACAAAAAGGGTGAGCAGCTTATGGAAACATTAGAAACAAAATAACCCACACTTGCAAAAGCTGAAAAAAGATTTTTCTGTAACCGAAAATTGTGAATCAACAGTTAAGTACAAAAAATTTTGGAATATAATACAAACAGGGAAATGAATGCAAAAGTAACAAGCTATCAAGTAGAAAAGGAGTAAAATAGTTGGACTTTCATATGAAATACGGATAGATTTCGACCTACTAGGTATGTGCAGGGCTTTTCTCACCGTTGGATCAAAAGACATCCACGAAGAAGTGTGTGTGTGTGTGTGTGTGTGTGTTTTCCAACGGTGAGCACACACCGATAGGATCAAACAACCCTAAAATAAAACTTGATATAAATTAGGACACGCCACTGCAATCTAGTACATTAAGGTTGAAATTTAACAAAAGAATAGCTCCAGGATCCAAAGTACAACACAGCATAGATTCCAAATGCACAATAAAAGTAAAAGTAATAGCCAACGGAGTGGAATTCCAACCTTTACACTAGACAAACAATAAAGATGGTCTACGATGTTTCGGCGAAATTAAAACCGACAACAATGTAACCAGGCCAAGCAGATATTCAAACAGCTATAGTAAATCCTAGAGAATAGACAGCTCATGCAAAACACCAACCTCATTTAAGCCGCAGCTACAATTTAAATTTCAACAAAATATCCAATATTTTACCACTCAGGACATCAACAAGATCGGAGCACAATCCAAGCCACAGATACGCCAAACAAAATGCATAACCCCACATGAATTGATGCCGGACACGTCCATAAAATAGATATCTTACTCATTACGCTTTGAGGTAGAAACTAGAATCCAAATTACAAAATCACAGACATAACATAGTATATCAAAGGGCATTTACTACACATTGAACAATGCGACAGACAGGTACAAAACAAAAAGGGACTCTTGAATCCAAAGACGAGTTTACACACTAAACTTAGTGTACCTTCCAACCCAAGTTCCAGAAGCCAGTCAGAGCATTACAACAATATATGCTGCTGCATCTCCTTGCCCACTCTCCCCAACAATATCCTCCATCTACATTACAAACCAAATAAATTTGGAGTAATCATCACCATTATTTAATAAAAAGACCAATCATAGATCATTTCATTTCCCAGCTTAACCATCAAATTTCTTTTACCCCCATCAGCCATCACCGCATTGACAATGCCCATCTACACTTCTTTACCATAAATAAGAATCACCATCCCCTATCATTATTCCCATCGTTAACTTCAAAACCCCATCCTCCACGTCTTCTCGAGGTGAGCCCACCAAAGAGGGAAGACAAGGAGCGTCTCCTCCTGCTCGTTCTTGAATTCGAGCTTGAGGTTGTAACCGACGACCCACCACCTCCCCCACCGAAGCACGCAAACAGGTTATGCAACACCCTCCTCAGCCCGCCACTCTCCCTCGACACATCACCCCGTGAGCCCCATGAAATTCTTCTTGGGGCCCCATTGTTCGGGAAACCACCATCAACCTCCGTGTAAACCACAGGAAGCTCCCTCTCCCCACCCCTCCTCCCACCGGAAAATCTCCCCACCGCAAAACCACCACCTGGCAGCCTCCATATCGTCAGCCCAACTGTCTCATCATCATTCTCCACCTCGTTCGATCCTCCCCTGCTAGCCTCGAGAGGACCCCGACTGGCATTGACAGCATCAATGTCGGTGGGCAGTTCATGTCTGCACACAGGACACGAATTCGTGAGGGCAAGCCAAGGGAGGATACAGTCCTGATGGTAGAGATGCTTGCAGGGCATCTCGCGTGCCTCAGTGCCCAACTCGAAAGGCTCCTTGCAGACAGCGCAGTGAGATTCAACGGATATGTGCCCGTCGTTTATTTGGACGGTGGGCATGGACTCGATTGATGCCTTGGACGCAGGCGGGTTGCTATCTACTCTCCCAATTCCGTTGGCCTCGATCTGAGACAACTGATCCAGCAACCTGTCAAAACCCGACCCTAAAAGAAACTCAGACATGGTGGCGGGCAAGGGGCGCAGGCCCGACCCAGATCCGTCGTCATAATACAATTCAAATCTTCCCCCGTGTGTGGCCCCACCTCCACCGCCGCCGCCGCCATCGTTAGGACCGCGGAGAACAATAACCGGATTGAACGGAGACCGATCTCCTCCGTTCCTGCGGCTCCTCCTCAGCCTGGGACTGGCAACCGCAACGGAACCGGATCCAGATCCGGAACCGGGACCCGATTCGGGGGTCCGGGGCATGTACATGTCGGCGGCGGGGAAGCGGCGGCGGCTGGAGTCGGAGAGGGAAGAAGATCTGTTCGGATCCTCGATCTCCTCAACGAAGCCGCTGTTGCAGTCGGGGCAATTGATGCAGTCCTTGTTGAAAATCCGCACGAATCGGTTGCATCTGTAGCACCAGTAGGTTGAAGAAGAAGACATGGAAAGCCAAAAAACAATATTTATTTTTTTCAGGAGTCGCTGGTTTTAGATCTGAAAAGGAAAATGAAAATTTAGGGATGGATCTTTTGACTAAACTCGGTAATGGACATTGAAGAGAGAGGGAGAGAGAAAGAGAGAGGGATGGAGATTGGTGGTGTTGGGGTACACAGAGAAATGGGTGAGAGGGATGATTGAGGGTAACAAATAAGGGGCAGTGTTTGTTAATTAAGTTGGGAGAGGGGTAGATTCGGAATATTTGCGTGATGAAGACCGTGGCGTTTGATTAATCAAAAGGCCGGACGGAACACGTGTTCAGCAGACATCAATATTGATAACGAGTGAAAGAAATATTAAGAATAATTTTATAAAAATAAATAGTGTATTAATATTTAAATTAATTTTATAAAGTAAATATTAGACAATATGAATATCATTTAATCATTTTTATTGTTATAATTCACAAAGTTAAAGAATTTTTATATAAAAATTATGTTTGGAAACCTTTATTTTGTGGGTATTGGTAAATTTTAATTTGGGACGGAAAAGTCAATTGATAAAATAATATAATACGAGTTAAATTAGTATACGATCATTTGACATGTCTGTTGTTGCCTTTCCGAAGTGAAGTGAAGTGAAGTCATAGAGGAAAGAAGCGGAACGAAGCGAAATTCAGTCAAAATTAAATAAGCTATAAGCTAGCTTTATGGCATACCAAACACCGCCAAAGACCCTTATAGAGATTGACTCTTTCAAATGGTTAGACCGAGGCAATTTTTTGATGCAAGAATGCTACAAATCATGTATGTGAAGTTAGCCGCTGAAGGGAATTGATGAAATTAGTATAATGTGATAATTTTTATATATCTTTCGTCGAGTAATGCGAAATAGAAAAGTCAATAAAATTTAATTTTTTATTTTAGTATTGCCTATTTTTAGAAAGAATATCTAATAATTTATTAATTAATTTGAGTTTGACATCCATAAATTAAATTATCTATACATTTATACAAATAACATCTTTATAAAAAATGTCAAATTTAAGCATAATA